TGTGCGCTAGCCACAGTGAGTATCCAGTGCTGTGAATTTGAGTACACTCCCTGATTCCCGGTTTGAACTAGTTCGGCGGAGAATTATCGACTGGAATAATCGTGATTTTGTATCCTTCATTTACTGAAACTAGAAGTAAAATAAAGCTTCCTATAAAGTAAGTAGCAACTCTTACAGCTCACTCCTTTCTGACATTTGCCTTTAGTTTTGCGTTCATCGCATCCGCTGTTACCGACACTCTGATCGCTATAACTCTCGTAATCTCCCTCAGACTGAAGTCAGCACAAACGTCTAATAAAGGAACTAAGCGGTGGGAATGTCTTTGTTCAAACTGATTACTTCGTTCACCCAGAAAGCCTTTTAGTTTAATCACAAGGCTGGTCAAGATTTCAGTTAGCTCTGGCTCAATCACAGCAGCTTGGGCTATCGCTATTGTAATAATTTCACTCCGTGGTCCTGCAAGTAATGGTATATATCTCACTTTACTCTATCATTCTATCATTTATTATCTGTTTTAGTTGGGCCAAGTCTTGGATATCCTCTCGGACGCCTTTATGGGATTTCAATGGCAGGCTGCTCTATTGTACCACTGCACTAGTACACAAACTGATCTACAACATCAGATGTTCAATCTGAATAGCCGTCGTTGTGCTACAGAAGATTCTGTTATAAAGTCCGAATCGATGAACTTGAATCGCAACACTGTTTGTCCGTCCCTTATTTCACCTAGCGATTGATGAATCCGACTAAATTTTCATTTTTTCAAGCAGCAACCGACCCGACATCTACTCGTTCTACTGGCAGGGACTTCCAGGGCGAGAGCCCTTCCAGTATAGATGGTCCCCAGGGTGTTTCTTTTACTGATCCAGCCTCAGTAATTACAGTATAGAACACAAGCATCACGGGTCTTTGTTTTATTAACTCTGAACTGATCAAGCATTCTTTGCATTTTATCTCATAATGTAAAAAAAAAAAACATTTTTGCGAAGTAGCTTACTATTTCAATAAATGTAATTTATTCTGAAGAATTGGTGCCACTAGCTATGTCCTCTTCGGATTAGAGGGAAAGATTTTCGCAGCCAAATATTAGGATCTATTTCAAATCAAAGAATCAAGAGGAAAATGCTGTTATTTAGGACCAGATTGACTGCTTTGTAGAATGTCGATATTACTATGGTTTAATATTTAACCTCTATGACAGTCCTGAGTCTTTTAATATTTTGTTTGGTTGCTTAGGACAATCACTTTTGTTTTTTTGTTTGACTACCAAATTGATTTTGGCTGGTCATCAGGCTGATTTACACCTATATTTTTAATTGCCGTCAGCGTACAATGGTCAATTTCATATGAAAATTCACTGTCCTGAATTCAGTATGCAAAAGAGCAAAAATGACACTAAAAACACATTTATCCTCAGTAAACATTCAAATGTACCATCAATTCTTTGCAGGAGTGGAATTACGAGGCCGGAGTTTAAGCGTTTACGGACTCGTCCTACTAAACTCAAGCTGGCTGGTTTTCCACGTATAATCCCATTCGGAAAATCACATGCTCACATAGAAACCCGACATGCCCGAGGGCCGTCGGTGCTTTCCATGCTGGGTCCGGATCAGATCCGCTACGAACAATCTAAAAAAAAAACACAGTATGGCGGAAAGTCTCTCTCAATTGGGGCCACCATTTGGTTCTAGTAAGGTCTATTGTTAAGAGCTGGCTTGAATTAAATATAGTACCAGTTCAATTCACATAACATATCAGTGCCGGTAGTCCCACCCACCGTATCTCAGCATCGTACTATCGTTTTATCTGCTCAAGTTCAGAACACAAGGTATACTTCGGGCTAGTCAGTTGTCCTTTCTATGTTATGAATCAATACAAGTTTATTTTCATCTGTCTATGTTGATATGATGGGGTATGTAACGAGCTTGAGACACGCTGAGGTTATATATGCTTAGTCTGAATGTCGAGCAGACTGCTGAATCCTGGAATATTTTAGCTCGAGTTCGGACTATGTCTCGTACCACTAGCCCTCACTGTAGAATGTCCAGCATCAGAAGGAATCGCTATCGCATTTTGGACTTTGCCCACCGAAGATTCGCTAACGTAACATAGACCCTTTGGAAACTTTTGAAACCATAATATTTACATAGATAGAACAGACCTACATGGAATTGGGGCCGTCAAATCCTGATTCTACCTGGAATCTAGACAGAAAATAAGAAGGGATGTGAGCGCGCAATAACGTTTCTTACCTCTGGTGGTTTAAAACGATATACTTCTTTCCCGTTCAACTTCAAGAAGTGTGACCTTCCACAATAAATGATGAAAATCTCGCATGCAGGCGGAAGTGTGGTACCCGAACTAATTCCAAACGAAGCAGGGTCCGCAAGCATGCGATCGAGTTTAGCGTCTACGGTAGACCGCACATGGAAATTGGGGTCCATGAAGAGCTTCACGCCAGGAGGGGTATTGATGCGGTCTCCAGCTTCGTTTGTGAAGTCAAAGTTGTAGTAGCCACCTTTTCCTACAGCATGAGAGACCCAGTAGCGAATACCAAATCCAAGGTGAGGCAGGTAGGTCTCGATAGCATCGGGTTGGGGCTCGATATCAGGCATGGGCTATCAAACAAATAAATGGGAATGTTTATCATGACCAGGGAGCCTGAATACTTACAATATCATCCGGCTCTCGTAATTGCTTCTCAAAATCCTCAACGCTAGTGACTGGTCGAAAGCCGGGAGGACAGAGTTCTGGAGGATAACTCGACGACATTTCGACCCATAATTCCTTGAGTTCTCGCGGCACTGAAGCGTAATATTCAAGTTGCTCTTTAGTCAGTTGCATACGCATAGTGGGCAAAGTTTGAGGATTGAGTTTGCAGGTCACGACATTACAAGAGTTATTTATTTGTGTTTGTGGGTCAGCAGATTTTGCCCGGCTTGTTTCGTCTTGTGCGGTATACAATTGCAAAGCAATGTGCGTCAGTACCTAGTAGATATTTAACATCCCAGACATTGGAAAGCATTCACTAAAATCATCTGTAGTGATCATCCCCTCGCTGTTGAACGCTTACGATGGACCAACAAGCAGCTGCTACTACCTTCTACAGAAGGCAGACCTTGGAAAATATAGTGGCCTCCGGCAAATTCAAACGGACCTGCAAGCGAGTACCCGGGACTTCAGTAGCACATTACTTGACTTATCACATTTTGGCTGAGGATGTCACACGGACAGGACTCTAGTGAATTGGACGTAAAAGACTTCAATCAATGGATTCATCGCCTTGATTAGTCTTCATTATTTAGTGGCATTTTGTAACGATTGAGAAGCTCGACCACAAACAAACTCCCATGACCTGCAACCAAATCATGTATAATATTATGGTATACGAATAGACTATCCGTACGTCAACTCGAGAACCTAGATCATATATGCTCGCGCGCTCACATTCACGTACACCACACCGTCCACCCACTGTCCCATCTCTGTTCCCGTTCGCAGTTAGTACCTCCTTTAAGGGTACATCGTGTGATACCACTGTACGCCACCACACCTCGATACGAACACTGCTCCGCAGTGTAGGGTTCTAGACTTGTGCAGTGTCAATGATGCTGCATCCTGATACCAATGTTACGCGTCAGAATTGACATCAGAAACGTTGGATGATAGGAGAGAGCGCTGAGAAGCTTTACTATCTGATGAGCGATGGGCGATGAGTATAGCTCCGAGAGTAAGGAGATGGCGGCTTCTGATCAAGATCGGAGGGAAGATACGGCGGGAGGAACGCGTGTTGCTGGGAGGTTGAGGCGAAGAACAAGGAACCAGCGGCAGGGAGACAAAAGGGAGATTGAATACAGGAGGAAGGCGAGCGAGCTGTCGGAGGGATGACGTATCAGCTAGACGCGCTTGGTGCGTCGTTTTCCTCCTCTTCTCTACCTTTCGCAGGAGAGATTTGGGAAAGAAATAACGCATCGAAAGGGCCTGTAGAGGGAGAGTGATATGTGGAGACATGGTTGGTTGTAGGAAGGAGGTGAAGCAACGATTTTATGAACACAGCAGAAAGGTAAAATAATAGTGGTCAGTCAGCACCCAGACTTCAAAGTAAAGCGTAAAACTCACGTCCAACACCAGCAGTACCCCGCTTCCCCTTGTATGCACTAACAACCGGACTAGGTGTAGGTGGCAGCGCAGACGTACTTCCTAATGTAGTCGTGCTTATAGAGTTTGCAGTTGAGCCCCCAATTTCGTTACTTCCAGGTGGCATCGAGTAATGCATAATCCTTGAGGGCGTTGAGAGCGGTGACGGCGGGTATCCCTTGCCTAGGTTTGATTTGGACAAGGGGGAAAAGACAGAAGAGGATAGGTTCTGGGAGGACCCGGGAGAGTAGGAAAAGATTTTTGAAGAGGATGGAGTAGACTGGCGCGTCTTTCAGCGGGCAGATAAAAAGAATAGAAAAGACAGCTCACCGACGGACTGACAAGGCTGAACGGTTTCTTTGAGCCTTGCGGTGTCGCTACTATTCCTTTCTTTTTCACCGGGGACAACTTTGAAGGCGGAAGAGGTGCGCGGGGGTACTTGACGGCGTACAGGGCTTCGAGAATGTTGTATGAAGGTATCGCCAGCGATATCACCTCTGTCAAGACATTAGCCTGAGGAGACTATGACAAGTACTAGAAACGTACCCAACACACAAATACACTTTTCCAACCAGTCATCTTCCCTAGACTTTCTACCCGCTCCAGAATCCAACACGCTCCTCAACGCGAACCCGAGGGACGGCAACGGTAACAGATACGTTACGATGACAATAAAAAGAAGTAGAAACGCATTTTGACGAATACGAACAATTGCTTCTGTCCTGTGCGGGCGGAAATGATTCGTAACAGTCGTTAGTGTCGACATGCTGGTAGTCGTCAAACAAAAATGGGTCACGATGTCACGGTTGAAACAGTTGTGACAGTGTCATCTACATTGATTGTATAAAACACGTTATGGTGTCTCCATCGTGGTGTAGTGGCTAACATTGCTGTCTTTCATCGATGCTTACAAAATCGGGCACAGCAGCCCGGGGTTCGATTCCCCGCGATGGAACTGGTCCAACTTCTAAGATATGAGTTATTTTTTATTTAGGGAAAAATCCGCATGGTTGATTGGATTATTGGAACTCCGGTCTCATTATGTATCCTCGTACTGCATCGGCACACGTACACCGGGAGCCTGCAATATAAAAAACACGAAAGACTTGGCATGGAAGTCTATCATTGACAGATCAACGCATCTGACAGGAAATATACACGCTTCAGAAAGATGTCGCCTGTTCAAATTAAGTTGTTATCGCCATTCTACTTTCCTTCATCTTTGTGTTTTATATCATTAATTCCCCCAAGTTCGAGATTCGGATTTTGTCCTGTCAAAACATGTGGGATAAGGGTCTAGGTTCATGCAGTCTGCCTGTTGAACGGTCGCAAGCTGGGGAGTAATGCCAGCAAAATCCACCGTTGGCGACAAACTATGGAGGCTTTGTCCGATTACATTTTATTAACATAAAATAGTAGTACATTATTGCCTTGCCTTGTAAAGATCCTTTCCCACTATGTTTCTGTGGCAGTTGCTTCAAGTCATCCACACGACGATACGACGGAGTTGCATATTCCTCATGTGCAGATTCTCTACAAAATAAAAACCCGGGGTACTCATCAAAATGATTCTTGTACGACAGGAAATATTGTGCCTAACACGGGGGACAAAATTGTATTACAGAAAGACAGATGGAATGCGAGCCCGACAAAAAATGTAGACAGACATCCGTTGTTCAACATGGCTATATTCTATTTGGTGCTAATGGACAGCATCCAAATTGCTACTTCTAGCATATTGTCCGGCGAATAATTGAGAAACGAAGTCATCGGATAAGAGCCGGTGAATACTTTTAGAACCTTTGACATACAACATTGACGATGTGTATGTTTCTGTGTCTTGTATTGAATTGATTTATTCATTATGGGAATGCACAAGCCTGGAGCCCCAGGAGTCGGAAACATAGAAGCCTGACAGAGAATATTCAAAGACAACAAATAACATTGTCACTCAGCTACTGACATCGTTTTAAACTGGCAGTTGAAAGGATTGTTCATCGTTGAGCGTGGAACCACTTTTTCCGACAGCGATCTTTTGACTTACAAGATGTCATACCCAAAGCTCGTAGCCTTAGATACGGAGTCTGTTTAGTCACTATCTCCTTCATATTGTACTGAACCTTGGTTATTTTCAGCTGGACCATTTTCTGGGGTTGGCTTGATCAGAATACATGGGGAAAGGGCTCAGGAGCTTATAATCCTGTTGAAGATAATATCACCAAGAGTGACTATTGGGAGGTTCACGACCAGAGGTGAAACTCCTTTTCTACCAAACATCCGCAAAGTTTTATTAACAAAACTTCGATTTCTGCAGTAATCCAAACAACAAATGTGGGATGTATGCAGATATACCCCGTATCATACCCGATATTCTTAAGAATGGTGCCCAAATTGCAATTGTTTCACGCAATAAGAATAAGGCGATGTAAGATTCTTATTACTAGGGTTACAGATTGATTAATTTTTTGCCAGGTGCGATAGAGCACTCTGGTACATGAGAGTTCCAGATGAGAACGGTGTCCAGAAACCTCTCATTGACCTCGTTAAGTTTGATGAGGTTTACGACGGTAGGTGATGCGTGGTATTCTTCATCGAAGCTGTCATTTGTAATGCTTTTCTCACAGCTGATAAGATTGTCCACTTCAATGCCATCAGAGACTGGACTGGATACAGTTACTATGACATGGTGATTTGTTCTCTTATCAGAGATGTTTTTGATTCTCTGATGCATGTTCAAGATACTTTTTGATGATGAAGCCATAAATAACACCGTTGAAATGATGCTCGGTACGCTTTTACCTAAATTACCTTGACTTTGCTTATTTTTTTGTTCGATCCAAAGGCGTTACCTTCCAAGTTTCTCGAGACCAGAAGGGCCTCACATGGGACAATTACCAGCAGGGCTTAGCAATGTGGCGTCGCAACAAAAGCCTCATGAGCCCTTTTCTCGGAAACAATCTCGATCTGTACCCGAACAAACGGTTCCTAGGTTATTCCGGTATGGATATTGGAACGATTGAAGCGCTTGAGAAAGGGTGGAGACGTCGTGATAGGCAGGAAGAGGCGAGGTGGGGGTACGCGATGTACGTTGCTGACGATCCTGCCGTGTATGTCTAATTTGAAGCGGTTTGTTCATGACTGACCGGTTCTCAGAGCCCGATACTTTTCTGGTTGGATTAAACACGCCTTTGGAGGAGCATCAGCGAAGACGTTCGTATGCCAGATATGGGCTAGGGATGGAGCAATTTGGGATAGCTCGCCAAAGGTAGAGTACTCTAACCATTAAGCTGGTGACCGTGCAATGCTTATATCGGTAATTTTTCAGATATGGATTCCAGAAACTGATCCCGGTACCGATGTCGTCAATTGGGATCCATTCCGTATTGCATGGAGTCAAGAGGATCGAGATCGTAGAATTGCAGAGCGTTATGGCGTTCAGAAGCCCTATACACTCTTCGCAAGACATGGAAACATGGGTGGAGATTTTCCCGTACCTAACAACGCTAGATTCAATGAGATGGTCATCTACGGCCAGTTGCAGGAAGCTTTGCTAGTCACAATTCGAATGTCGGACCAACATGTGACATCTGATATTCAGTCTGGGAATCACATTCGGTATGAGCAGTTGCTGAATGCGTGGAATATAACTGTTCCACCCGAGACTTGGGAGGATTTCAGAAGGCATGGAGAGACTTGGATTAGGCGGTGACATCTGAGATCACTATCATGCATTTTTCCGAAGTAATGATAAATAACTATCAGTGATCACTAGGTCTCTAGACAACCTTATCACTTGCCTGTTTTGTCCTATGCATGTGATCCATAAATTCGTAATCAGAATTTTTTTTCAGGCTTGCCATTAGAATATGCTGAAAGTGATTCGTGACGAATAAGTTGTTGCGTATATATCAGGACTATCAGGAACTAATCGAGGTAGTAAATTTTTTCAGAGAACAAAAGAAGTACTAAATTTTACATAGCTTAATCACGAATGAAACGTAAAAGAATGGGAAAAAAAATCAAACCGTCTCCCAGTGCCAATTGAATAATTTACAACAGCCACTACCTTGATGCATTATCCCCGTGGTTTATCATATACAACAAAGGAATGAAATGTCACGGTAGATCGTCCATGTTGTTCAATCAAACTGTCCATAGTTTGCATCTGTCCATGACCCGTGAGAGTGTCTAATTTCTCGAAAGTCACTGAGCTTCATGACAGTTACTACTGGTGTAACTTCCACATGTGAACATGACTGACATACGTCTCTTATTCCAGTACAATTATAAAAAGATAAAATTGCCTGTTCTCGACATGTCAATAAAGCAGCAAAATTTGATTTTCAAAGAGAAGCAATGTATCCATCAATCATGTTGGAATGGAAGTAGAAATGAAGAAACAGCCGGAATGACCGTGATTCTTTAAAACCTTGCTTGTCTCCTTTCTTCCTTCCTCTTCCGAACGGGCTTCCCTTACTCCAGAGTACTTTCAGAATGAGGATATGGTATTGGTAAGATAGTAAAAGTATGGTTATCAGCTGAGCTGAATACCTGAAATATCGTTTCTGAACAGGTCTTTGTTTATTAGAGCTCTGCTAGTCAGGACCTTGCAGCTTGAGGCACCGGCGACAGCAGCGATTGGTGAAACGGTCAGCGTCACATGGATACTGGATGCCTCCGACAACTCACCTTTGAAATTTGGGATCGGTATTCCTCTCAACGACGATACCAACATCAACCAAAACGAGATAAAAACCATAGATACTAATGGAGAGAACCATGGAACAATTGACTTCCTTGTAGCGATACCAACACCTCGGTAAGATTTGCTCTCGTTTTATTTTCCACCTGATGGATCTATCTTACTTAGATCTGTTCATTTTGAAGCCTATTCGCTACCTGATTTGAAGCCGATGTTTGGGAGCTCTCCAATGTTGGTTCAAAGTCAAGAAATATCATCTTCAACAATTCCGCGTAACCCGTGAGTCCACATTATACAAATAAATAGTCGACTTAAAGTAGTCATTATTTTTCTTAAAGTTTTACGACCTCATCGCATGAAGCTAGTTCTAGTGCGAATGTGCCTTCCCACACTTTTTCCTCGGATATTCCTGGCACTGTCACCCAAAACATACCTGGGTCAACGGTTAAAACATCACCGAATGGGGATTCCCAACCTAATCGCCAACCTAATCATTTACAAATTATCCTGGCAGTTGTCTTTGGGGTACTATGTGTTGTGATCGTGATACTCTTCCTTATTTTTTTACTTCTAAAGCGCCGGAAAAGGCTGCAGAAAGCGGACACAGAGGAGACACCTAATTCATCACTCTCGGAATGGTCTCTTCCCGAAAACCCGGGGTCAACTTGGGATGACTCATCATTGGGCCCATCTGACTCTATTTCACAGACCAATATTCCACTGTCACAGAAGCGAAGAGTATTACTACCGTCAACAGCCCTGACATATTGCTCTGAGGAAACAGAAAGTTTGGGAACGTTTTCCATTTCAGAGACCCAGCATGATATGATTGCCAGACCTAGTCTAGTCCGTTTCGGTACCCAATCGGAAAGATCTATAATTTAAAAGACGTTACAATACGTCATTAATATGGATGTTGTATCGAATAGAGCACATCAGGAACACTCTTTTTTAGTTTTTCGGAAACAGTCGGTGGATTTCACTAAAAGTGCGGGTTCCAAGTCCAATCTTCACTTTAAGGCTACTGGGGTTGAAAGGCGCTGCTACTTTGCACGGCAAGATACGAGACCTACTTAGTATTCATGGACTTTAGCATTTTGAGCCAAAATTAAATAATGTACAGAATGCATATGGACATATCTATTACGAATCTACCAATATTTACTATTTCCATTACATAATGAACCTACCCTAAAGAACATGTGTATTACATGCAGTAAACACAAGGCGTAGTAGTATAAGTACTTCCTTGT